CCCTAACCCTAACCCTAACCCTAACCCTAACCCTAACCCTAACCCTAACCCTAACCCTATCATGCTGTAAGGCGTTGAGCACGTACTTTTACTTCTGGCAGTCTCCGGCACCGGGCACGAGCCGATTCGCGCTTGTTGGAAGACTGAGCTTGACAGCAAGGTAGAGGTCGGTCTCGGTCTGATCAAGCGTGCTATTTCGGGCTCGAGCATACAAGACACATGCTTAGCAGGCTCACCGCTTACGAGGATGCTCCAGCCTTCCAGGTTGAGTCGATGAGGCGTCTTGTCCGCTTCGAGTCCAACTCTAAGGCGTTTGAGCGATGTCTGGGGTTCATGCGTCGAACATTCAGGACTGAACCCTGATCGTGGTTTTGCTCATGTCTACCCCGCACCAGCGATGCGATCGAGCACAAGTGCTGCGAACTGGCCGGTCAGTACCTCGCTGTCCTACTTGCTGTCTCCGTCCGGCTACCTGGAGAGGCGACAAAAGGGGACCGAGGGCAGATCCAACTACAAAAGCAAAGTCAGACGGCAAAAGCATAAAAATAGCCGGGGAAAACGATGGATAATTGTCTATCCGATTCGGTTAAAAGATGGAGTCCAGACCGTTCGGCAAGTGTGGAACAGCTCAAGCTCCGATTCATCTCCGGGAATGATCGAAAGGTGGGGTACGGAAATGACGGTGTAAAAGCTCCGAGTCAGGGTGCAAACGAGAAGAACACCACCTCGACAGTGAACGGCATAAAGGTCACTTGTTGGCTCGCGTTCCTTTTTCACTCTCGCCGACCACCGTCACTTGCAACATCATCCCTACCGTGCCAAGATGTCCACCGAACAAGTTCCACTGTCCGGATTGCCGGCCAACACTCGCCCTGACAAGGCAATCCGCAACAATGGCCCCGTCGACCTTGCGTTGGAACGCTGGCGCATCGTCGAGCTCGCGCAGGGGTGGCCCATGTACCGCGATGCTCGCGAGTGGGAGAACTTCCAATCAATCTTCCATCCCGAGGGCGCCTACGTGTACACCACCTGGACCGGCAAGACGCACATCGACGACTTTGTCGCAGCAAGCAAAGCCAGCATGGAGAATGGCGCGTTCATCATGCACCGCATCCACGGCACTTCGGTCGACATCCTCGACAACCGGGCGATCTGCAAGATGAAGGCTACCATCACCCAGCGCTTCTCGTTGGACGGCGTCGAGGTAGATGCAGAGTCGGACTGCCGCTTCTGCTTCTTCTTTGAACGCTACACTGCTGCTGACGGCACACCTAGTTGGGGTGCCAAGCTCGTCCGTCACTGGTACGAGAAGGACAAATTGATCGCCGTCGACCCTCGCAAGGTGCCACAGCTGGATGATGAGCTGCTGGCCACCTTCCCGAGCGGATACCGCTACCTTGGTTACTGCCAGGAGATCTCAATGAAGGGCAAGACCGACTCGCCACTTAAGGTGAAGCGTGACATGCCAGGTCATCGCGGCCCCGAACACGATGCTCTTTTGCGTGCCGCCAAAACATGGCTCGACGGCGGTATGCCTGACGACCTCAAGTGAGGTCTTGGTATCGCTCAGCAAGCCTTCTGTCTCGCCTTTACATACACGTGTACACATACATATATCGACTCGTTGCAAAATTGATGCGATCGCTACAACATGTTGACCGTTGTGCATGAGAGGGTGTGTGCCGGATTGTCGTGTATGGGCAAAGAAAGCCGCGAGCAGCATAGAGGCCCATTACCGGAAGATTGTGTGTCCCTAACTCCGCTGCTAGGCCAAGCGGAGACCAGTTGGGGATGAAAGACTGGCAGACGCAGTATCCACCGCAGCCGTCCGACGCGAAGCCGCTGGCAGCAGCTCGGAGTTGAACCCCGCTCTTTGCTCGGAGCTAGACGACTCCGAGGGTCCAAATCGACCTTCTTCTTATCCTACTTGAACCCGGATTATCACTCGAGATTACCAACCACTATCGTGTAGCTCGCACATCTCACTGCCTCCCCACAATGCGTTCTTTCCAGCACGAGAGCAAGCCTGCGCGTGTCATCTTTGGCAATGGCACGCTTCAGAGCAAGTTGAAGGAAGAAGTCCAACGGCTGGGCGTGCGTCATGCTCTGGTCCTCAGCACCGGCTTCCAGGCTGATCTGGCCCAAGAGGCCGCCAAGCTGCTCGGAGAAGGCGATACTGCCATCAAGGTATCGATGTACACCAACGCCACTATGCACACGCCGATCGAGGTGACGGAAGAAGCCATGAGCTCTATGGGCGATGCCGACTGTCTGATCGCCTTGGGCGGTGGATCGACCACCGGTCTGTCCAAAGCCATCGCTCTTCGCCGTCCTGGGATGCCGCAGATTGTGGTGCCAACCACCTACGCCGGCTCCGAGGCCACTTCCGTCGTCGGACAAACAGAGAATCGCAAAAAGACCACGGTCAAGAGCAAAGACATCTTGCCTGGTACCATCATTTACGACGTTGGATTGACCTTGACCTTGCCGGCCACGATGACATGCACTTCGGGTCTCAATGCCATTGCTCATGCTGTCGAAGGGCTCTAGTGAGTATCTCCTATTCTTCTGACGCTGTATGCCGCTCGTTGCTGACCGACCGTTCTCTCTGCGCTACAGTGCCACCGATGCTACACCCATCACCGACATGTTTGCCGTGAGGGGAATTCGATCCATGCTGACTGCCTTGGAGACGTTGCAAAAGACGGGTCAAGACGACAGCGAAACCATGCTCGATGCGCGCGCCGATGCCTTGGAAGCTAGCTGGCTCTGCGGCACCACGTTGGGTGCGGTTCACATGGGCCTCCACCACAAGCTGTGCCATACCATGGGCGGCATGTTGAACACGCCTCACGCCGAGACCCACGCAATTCTGTTGCCGTTCACGCTGCTGTACAACTATGGCAGCTTGACCTCAGCACAGAAAGGATGCTTCGGTCAGGCGTTCGATACGCAAGATGGCTTGACCATCGCCCAGCGTCTACGCTCAGCATTGACTAACCAGGCTGGCGTCCCGCTCACGCTGAAGGACATTGGCGTGGCAGAGGAGGATCTGCCCAAGGTGGCTGCACAAGCTGCTTCGGCTCCTTACCCCAATCCTCGACCCTTGGTGGAGGATAAGCTGTTGCTCATGCTGCGCTGCGCCTGGCAGGGCACGTTGGAGAACGCTATCCAAGAGTGATCAATTCGAGGAGCTGCTCTGTCGTTCCCTTCCCGTACGTCCCACAAACCAAACCCCAAGCACTTCAATCAACACGTTAGAAAGTGCGCTTCTCACTCTTCACGAATCTTCGATGTGATCATGTTGCGGACCTGTTGCGAACTTGTTGCGAACCTGTTGTGAATCTGTTGTGTGTGTGATAAGATCGTGGTGTCGAGGTGACAGTTTAACGTACAAAAAGGAGGATCGTGCGCTACGCCTCAAGAGGACTGTGGCTGTTGACTTTGTCTAGCCTCTTCCGCCTCCTGCACGGTGGGAAGTACCAAATCATAGTGACAAAGCCAGAAAGGCTCTTCGTTGCGAATGAAACCCAACTCCTTGGCGCGCGAAGGATCGTGGATCTGCTTCAATTCCAACACCAACGACGTCTTGACGCCAAACACAGCATCCGAATAGAGAAAGTCGTCGCCTTCAAAGTAGAGCGCCGTGGTCAATGGGGCAAATCCAGGTGCGGTGATCTGGAGGTGCAGATGAGCCGGACGAAAAACGTGTCGACCGAGACGTTGAAGTAGTTTGCCGACCGGACCATCGCTCGGAATGGGATAGGGCACAGGGCGAACAGCGCGAAAGTTGTAGACGCCTCCCGGTCCGCTACGAATCCTGCCGCGACAGTCGGCCTTGGTGCGACCGTCATACTGGACGTCGTAGAATCCTTCGGCGTCCGTCTCCCACGTTTCGATCAATGCACCTTCGATGGGCTGACCGTCGAGACCTTTGACCGTTCCCTCTACGTACATGTATTCGCCTTTGCCTTCCGAGGCGATGCTTTCTCCTAGGTTGATTTCGGTGGCGTCTGACGTTTGGAAAGGACCAAGGATGGTGGGCTCCGTTGCGCCTTGTGGCACCTTCTTGGCCTGAGAGTCGACCAACGCAGAGAGACCGAGAATGTCGGATAGCAGGATGAATTCCTGTCGCACCGGAGAGCAAATCTGGCCGACCTCGGTGAGGAACAGCAGCGCGGCCATCCATTCGGCTTCGCTCAGCTTGACCTCACGGGCAAAGTTGTGCAGGTGTTGGACTAAGCTTGCCATAACTTCTTTGAGTCTGACATCGGACGAGCGTGCGTTGCATTGGTGCACGATATCGGTGATGGTGTGCTCGTTGAGATCGATGGGCAAGGTGGGAATGTCTGCCTTGGCAGGTTGCTCCGGCTTGAAGGGCAGCTCGTTCGTCTTGATGGTCATGGTGCTGCGAGTCCGGGGAGAGCGTGATGGTGTGAGCAGGGCAAGGAGGAGCAGAGGTGTACAACATCTGAACCTCCTATCAAGTGACAATCGTTTCAGACCCTGACCGGGGCCAGTTCTTTTCTCCACAATTGATTGGTTCAAGTCCGAGAGGGTCGGAGTTGGTTTGAGACCTTGGCCGCCCGCAACCACGCTAAGCGAGGCGATCAACGCGCCGCGTCGATGGTCGCTCGCTTACCTCGTGGATTTGCTCGTCGCTTCGGCGCCAAGGTTCGGAGGTGAAGCAGAGCCAGGCTCACCGCGTCTTCGTCCGACCCCACACTTCCATCTCCACACTTGACGATCCGAGACTCCTCGCTATACACCCTCGCAGGCAGGAACCAGAAACGATGTCCGAGCGCAGGGGGGTCCATTCATCCCCGGGCGGCAGCCTACCGGTGCCTCCGGATGCACCCGTCAAGAAGAAGAGAAAGTCTCCGGTACGTGCAGGAATGTGGAGAAGGGACAGCTTTAGGGAGGCTGACATCCGTCACTGCGTACTGACTTGCCATCGATCATTCCTCACAGCTACTCTCCAAAGCCAAGTCGTGTATTGGATGTCGCAATGCCAAGCTGCGCTGTAATATGGAGTGGCCATGCTCCAATTGCGTGCGACGAGGTCTAGCCCACGAGTGTCCAGGATTCGTCCCACACGAGCCACGAGCTAAGTCTGTCGAACAAGGGCAGCATGTATCCTTCGACCAGGCGCATTCGCTGGCTTCCTTGGCTTCTCTCGCCCATACAGCAACGGAAGAGTCTCGTCACGAAAGCGTAGCGCCGGGCGAGGCGGATGCTCACGATGGGCTGGCGTCGTCGCCGGTGCGAGGGCAAGTTGCGGTCACCACCCGCGGCGATTCCAATTCGCTTGGCGGATGGCCTCAATACTATGGCCAGTCGGCCCACAGCAGCTATCTCGCAGCGAGCTTCTCGCCGCCACCTCCGGCACCGCCGTCGGCACCATCAGCAGCTGCTGCGTCCAACGACAGATCAAAACCGCCCAGCTCGAAACGAGCTCGCAGAGCGGAAGAGGATTCATGGGTGCAGCTCGACACAGACTATCAATATTTCTTGGACCATGTCCAGGACGGCATGAACGAGTCCATTCTGAAAGACTTCAAAGCATCCATCGCATGGATGTATTGCCCAATCGAAGCGTCAAAGTGCAGGTCGGTGTTCGATGGAGCCGAGCCGGACACTCTGGCGCTGCGACTTGTTATCAAGGTCGTCGTGTTCGCATGGCAGACAGCGGTTCTCAAGTACCATCCCGCAGGCTCCGAGCGCATCGGAGAAGTGGCGCTGCAGCAATGCTGGAGGGCACTGGATAAGGCAGACTGGAGCCGAAGTAATTCCCTGGTAGTACAACAAGCGTTGTTCCTGCTCTGCATCTTCCTGCTTAATTTTGACGGTGGGCAAATGTCCGAGAGGTTCTCATCGGTCTTTGGCATTTGCGTGGCCAAGGCCATCGAGTCGGGCCTCTACACTGATGCCAAGGTGGGTCAAGACGACGATCAGACTATTGAGCGTCAGCGGCAGAGGCTCTTCTGGGAACTTTACTCTTTGGACGCCTTCCGTTCGCTAGCCTACTGCCGACCGTGCTTCTTCCAAGACTCCACCATCTCAGCAGCGAAGCCGAGCGTGCTGACCGACGACGATGCGTTCCACGCCATCAAGTACGAGAATGCGCAGATCATCAATCGGTTCATGTCGCACCACCTTTACTCGGTTCGCACCGACTTCCAGAAAACCGTCGATCTCGATCATCAGGTCCGTCAGCTGTTCGAACACATCCCGCCGCACCTGCGTGTACGTCGAGCCAATCGGATCAGTAGCGGACAACACCAGAGCATTCGACAGATGCTGCAGGGCTGCACCATCGCGCTCAACATCCACCAAACCCTGCTCACGCTCTACCGACCCTGGTTTGTCTCCAACACGCTGGCAGAGGCGCAAGGGAAGGGCGATCGACACTCAGCGCAGTACCAGCGTGCCAAGCTCTGCATTGGCGAATCGGCTAGCGCCATGATCGATCTGTGCAGCCGCGCCTACGCTGTCGATCCGCAGACGACGATGCATTGGGCATTCTTCCTGCACCACACCTTCAATGCCGGCGTCTGTCGTGCCATACAGGCTATCTACGGCCACGCAAGCGATCCTCTCTCCTACACTGCTGTGGACGATGTAGATGAGGCCATAGCGCTGCTGGACATGACGCAAGAGCACGGTTGTGGTCAAATGTGGCGGCCCAGGGCGCATGTCCTGAGGAAGCTGCGTCAGCGAATCGACAAGGTCTACAACGGAGCGGCACGCAACACTGGCGGAGAGCGGTCGCGTCGAGCCAGCTACTTTAGCCTGCTGGGTGCCACCGTGCCGCTTGAGCCGGCGCAATCCTCAACGGGCACTGATCAGCAACAGCTGCAGCCCGAGGCAGAGTCGTCCTCGACTTCCCTTCTCACCAGCCACGATCTTGCCTCGGCCACGCCGGACGATGCTGCCTCCTCTTCGGGATGGCTCGATCTGCTCAACGCGGACGCCTTCACGCTCTCTATGGCTGATCTGTGGAACGTGGAAGGCCTGCCGTCCATGGGCCTACCTGCCAATGCCGATCAACACGCAGACGCAGCGTGGTCCACGCCTCTACATCAGTAGACACCGACAAAGTCTCAATATACCCGCACGCACTCATGTACTACACCGGAAAGGAAATGCGATTGAAAAGACCTCGTTACACTGACAGAGGTTCGGGGATACCGTTCGCGTTGAGCTCGTCTCGAGTTGCGGCCTGCTTCCACAACTCTTGCTGTGCTGTCCGTGCCTGGCCGTCGGTCAGTTCAATGCCGCTAAACAGACGCCAGACCGTCTGAACCTGTTCGGCGATGACGTGGATGCCTTCGATCACGCGCCACCCGTGCGTCTGTGCCGAGAGGAAGGTGCGGGTGATTCGAGGCTTGTAAGCCATTTCCAATAAGATCCCCTTGGTCCCGGTCAATACCGTTTCCAGGACTGCGCTTGCACGTTTCTCCGCCTCAGACTTGGGCTCTAGGTCGGGGACACAGCTTACAGCCAGCAGCGATGGCGGCTGCGTCGTTCCAGTTGCTTGCGAGACAACCCGCTGAGCCTCCTCGACGGTGCGAAGGTGCTCGATGGTAGGAACCTGCATCGACACGGAAGTGAATCCTTTCTGCACGTCGCGAACCAGGGCTTTGACCTCGTCGTCATCGCGGTTGATGATGAAGATGGTCTGGCACCCCAGCTTGGTCAAGGCGTAAGCAGCCGCGCGGCTTGCGCCTCCTGCTCCAACGATCAAGCCTTGCCACCCACTTGCACCCTGCGCTGAAATTTGCACACCTTGACGAGCCATTTCCTTCTGCAATGGTCGCAAGATACCGATCCAATCGGTGTTGGCACCCAGTAGCTGGCCGTCTCTCTGGTAGATGTTGTTGATGGCACCGATCGCCTGAGCTGCTCGGTCGACCTCATCCACCGCGTCCAGGAGTTGGATCTTCAATGGCATCGTAGGCACGCAGCCCTTGAAGTCGGCTCTACGGATGTACTTCAACGCCTCTTCCTTGGTCTGCACATCGAGATTGCTGAAATGCCATTTCGAGCCGATCTGCTGAGCGACAGAATTGTGGATCACGGGAGCCATGGCATGGCTGACACCGGTACCGACCAGGTAAAGTTGGCCGGCGTCCTGGATGGATGGAGGAGCACCTTCGTCTTGAGCGGGGATTGAGCCCATTTTGGAGATAGCGATCGTTGATGGGGAGCAGATCGAGGTGATGTTGAGGAACAGAAGGCTGCTCCAAGATACCATGCCCTTGATAGCTTTTATTGCCGGGTTAGTCTCAGATTCCGCGTTCTGTACCACCTTCGATCCGGCTTCGTAGTCGGAGTTGGGGCGCCGTTCGCCACTACAGTGTATGTGGACGAGAAGCCGGCCGGCGTTGATGGATTTCAGCGACGCGGGATCCCCAAACTCCGATGCAAGTCTGAGACCCTGCCCCGTATGGCAGGCCCTGCATCGGACTTGAACACTTCGTCGTATTCCTGCCCGAGCCTGACGCCGGACCACAACCCCAGGCTGCATCTCGGGGCAGAAGATTCTTCCATCTCGGCTCGGCAATTCGCAACATGGGGAAAACCCTCATCCGAATCGCACCATCATGTTTCCCTGCTTTACCTCCATCCTTCTAGATTGTAACCATGTCGGCCTCTTCAAACGCTGACCGTCCCACTGTCCTCGTAAGCCATGAAAGTCCCTTCGATGGAATCGAGTATAGCTCTCGATGCTGACCGCGCTTTTGTCGTGTGTACACAGCTCATCAATGGACCTAACCTCAACCTTCTGGGCACGCGTGAGCCAGAAAAGTATGGGAGTCAAACCCTATCCGATGTGATCACTCAGTGCCAAAGTACGTGCACCGAGCTTGGGCTTCACCTCGAGACATTCCAGTCAAACCACGAAGGCCACATCATCGATCGAATCCATGCCGTGCTGGGTCGTGCTCAATCGACCTTCTTGGTCATGAATCCCGGGGCTTTTACTCATACCTCGGTGGCGATTCGTGATGCCATCAGCGGTGTACAGGTGCCAGTGATCGAGGTCCACATCACCAATGTGCACAAGCGCGAAGCGTTCCGCCATCACTCTTACATTTCCGACATCGCCGTTGGTGTCGTGGCTGGCTTCGGTACCTATGGCTATGAAGCGGCCATCCGTCTGGCGGCTCAACATCTCCTTCCCTCATCCAACAAGGTCTAGAAGCATTTCGGCGCATGTGGTTGTCTCCCTGGATCGTAAAGTCGTTCTCAATCACCTGTACAAATCATGTTCAGCTATTGCATGGCATTTCATTCTCTTGCGACCGGTGAAACTATTTGTGTCCGTCATCCAGCAGCATTTCCTGACACCGACGCCATCCAGCCATGGCTCGTTGCGCGTTGCGGAGGGGAATGGTCTTATCGGCATTTTTGAGTTCCGCATTCATCACTTCGGCGCTGACAATTCCTTGGAAGCCAATGTCTTCGAAGATGACTCGCAGCAAGGGCAACAGGGGCAGGTAGCCTTCACCGGCAAAGTTGCGGCAGGACCTGTTCCATGCCATCTTGCTGTTCGCATGCATGGTCGGGTCGAATAAGGCATGGTCGATGGTCAAGGGCGGCGTCATACGTTCAGCATCGCCGATCTGAATGTAGAATACCTTCTGTCGATTGAGCGTTTGCTTGGCTTGATGACCAGCAAAGGTTGTTCGCAGATCGTCGAGACACTTTTGAAGACGAAGCTCTCCATCGTACAGCACGCCACTCTCGCTTGCAGGATCCGCCCAACATTCTCCGAGGATCTGGAACGTGTCAAGCACGATGCCAAAGTTGGGCAAATCGACCGCCTCGACCTCCTTCCAAGCATCCTGCCATCGGCTGGTCCATGCACCGAAGGCCATGGCCTCGTAGGCGAAACGGATCGGAGGTTTGCCCTGTCCTTGTCGTCCCGTCAGGCCTGCCTCGGCTATGGCACGCAGATCCGCTACCACCACCTCGGAATTGCCGAGTGAGATCTTTTTAAACATCATTGAAGGCACCTGAATGACGTCGGTGCCCAAGATATCGGCTACCTCGAACCAGAGAGGCAGCACGTCTTGCACGCGTCGATCACGCTCTTGACGGTCACGCAGGCCCACGTAGTTGAGCCACGGCTGGAGTGCGACGATGCGGACTTGGTGACTGTCACAAAGCTGTCGTATGTACTGCGCACCTGCCAGTAGCTCTTCATTAGAAGGCAGTTGCTCGATCGATTTGTTGACCAGTCGTAGCGAAGCGACACGAAGGCATTCGTAGAAAATCTCGATGCCGTCGAATCGTTCTGCCGCAGCAGCAGCCACCTTTTCTTCGATACTCTGCGCATCAGCATAGCCCAACGAAGCGCTCATGACGGCTTGCGGCATAGCCTTGAGTCGATCGGCAAAAGACAAGATGGCATCGTCCGAAGACTGCAAAGCCGAGCTCGAGGCAGCCAGCTGGCGCATCTTGTCGCGGACCTGGCTCTGAGGGATCGAGGCGAACAAGGACGAGTCAGTGCCCAGCCAGATTCGCCATTGTTCGATCAGTTGGGCACCCAGTACCTCGATGCCGGAGATGGTGTGCCATCCGTCAGCTCGCGCCGTACGAATGATCGAGGTCACCAGCGGTTTGAAACACATGTCGATCAGCATGCACGGGCTAGTCTGAGCCTGGTGCCGATGCAGACGACCGACCAGAAGGAGATCCAGGACCGCGTACATTACGTCCTCTGCTGCGGTCTTGCCCTCTGTTGCCGTCGGCGTTGCCTGACGGGTCATGGCGGCATCGGGAATGCAACTGACGGCCAACGAAGGGGTGATGCCTTGGTCGAGTAGTCGTTGAGCGTGCGCCACGGAAGCGACATGGAAGACACATTCCGACAGCGGGAACTTGCCGCCCTGTGCCTGAACTGCAGCCTGCATGTCGTCGATCATTGCTTTGACGGCGGTCGCCGAGCGAGCCACGACCAGAACGCAAGGACAGTGAAGCATGAAGACCATGGCCCAGATCGCGGCACGCGCCGCACCACCGGAGCCAATGACCAGACCGATTCGTTGCGGGATGCGTCGCAGCATAGCATCTTTTTCTAGAAACACTTGCGCGATGCCGGCCGCGTCCGTGTTGTGACCGTGGTATTGAGGCGATGCGTTCGATGACCCTTTGACCAAGCTGATTGTGTTGACGGCACCGATTGCCTTGGCATCGTCGGCGATGTGATCCAGCCGCGTCATGATGGTCGATTTGAAAGGCATCGTGATGGCACCGAATCCAAAGTCGGCGCTTTGAATGTGCTGCCACACTTGCTCCTCTTCGGCATATTCGCCATGTGTGAAAGTCCACGGCAAGCCAAGCAGCTGAGCCACGAAGGTGTGCACCGCCGGTCCAACGCTGTGTTTGATCGGAAAGCCAAAAGTGGCGCCGCGAAGCGGCTCGCCGATTCGGTTGAGCAGTGACATGGTTGAGAGATGAGGGAGCGGATGCAGGATTGGTACCAAGATGAGAGTAGCACCATAAGAAGCCGCCTGCTTATGTCGGTTCGGCGAAATCGGTGGAAGGAGTCGAAACAGGATTCGAGCTTAGACGTGTGGGGTTTCAGGTCCGATTCATGTCCGGGTCGTTTGAGGGTCGAGTCCGATGTGGTCTGAGCGACGTGAACTCGCTGCCTCGTCGGTCTCGCACGGAACTCCACAAGAACGGGCATCTTGGGACCGACATTTGTCGTCGGAAGCACACTCGCACACGATCACCAACAGGCAAATTCTGTCGGAAAGGAATCGGTTGTAGAATTCTGTCGAAGCGCGATCAACGTAGTGAAGCATTCAAAAGGACATGGGATGTGATTTTCTACACCTTGATATCCAGCATGGCCTTTGCCATGTCACGGGCCCTTTCCTCGACCTCTGAGCCCAAAGGACCTTCGTCACCGGCCTTGACCGCAAACGGTATGGGATCAAAGCTTTCCTTGCCGTCTGCAAAGGCTTTTGCTGTTGCGGCCCACATCCTTGCTTGCGCAAGACCTTGTTCCACCATTGCTTCCACACCGCCAATAGAGAACCATCCCAGCGATGCCGCCATAGTGAGAAGAGGAGTCTGGCGTGGCTTGTAGCACATGTCCAGGAACGGACGCTTCGCGGGCAGAGGCAACGGAACGAGTGTCTCGCCACTCGACTCTGTCGACGTTGCAGGAGTGTGGGCATGAGACGAAGCGGGTGGGGGAGCGGTCGAGAAGAACTTTTCGGCAAGCGTGTAGACCATCTTTTCCGAGTCTGTTTGCGGAGTGAAAGCTGGAATGGCGCCTACAGCACAGGCGATCGGCCCAACTTGTCCATCCTGTCGCTTCTTCTCTTCTGCCTCCCAGGCCTCGACCGAGCGAAGAGGACGAAGATCGAGGGAGGCACCGAAATGATCGACGACTGCCTGTGTCTCTTCAGCATCCCGATTGAGGAGGTAGATGGGCGAGAGGCCAAGCTGAGAGACAGCATAGACCGCTGACCTGCAGGTTCCGCCCGAGCCAATGATAAAAGCGGAGCAGGTCTTTCCCTGTTCGTTCTTCGGGAAGACGAATCGAGCCTTGTACGGTAATCGAGGATCCAGGTACTTTGTGATTCGGTCTTCTTTGTTCATGTCTGCGATGCCTCTGAGAAGAGCGTGAGCAATGCCGAGATAATCGGTGTTGGTGCCAATCATCTTTCTCGGCTTGCCGGCGGACTGAGGTGTGGGCACGATCGTGTTGACAGTCTGCGTTGCTTTTCCTGCTTCGCTGAGCTCGTCGATCACGTACTTCGAGCCGAGGTTCGCAGTGACAGCAACTTTGAGCGGCATAGTGACCCCAGCGCCGGCAAAGAGAGGGTCGTCTCGAACGAGTGATCGAAAATGAGCAGCATCGATGCTTTCGGTGTCTTGGAGCGAGTAGGTTGGGTGAAAGCTCTGAGATTCGGATCCAGGAAAGGCGATTGGCTCGATGGACTGCAGCATCAGGTTCTGGAACGCAGGACTGGCAGAGTGGGAGATCGGGTAGCCAAAGAGATAGTAGCGCCGAGCAGAAGCTGCGATTTGATCGGGCGTTGGATGAGGCGGTGGTGTTGCCACTGCCTTCGTCGAGCTAGGGCTTGGTTTGGCCGTGGTGGCGACGTCTGAGCCGCCTGTAGCGTTGGCGGCAGTGTTCTCGATCGACATCTTGGACTGGACTGCTTGCGATGTTGGAGGTTTGCGACGAGGTGATCGGCTAAGGTGGTCGCTGTACTCCAGCAAAATTGAAGGTCAAATGTACCAAATATTACACACGAGCATTTTCGAAGCGAGACTTTAGGGCTCGATGCGAGATGGCTTCTCAACGATTCAAATCCGACTGTAGGGGACACCCAAAACCGCAACAGTCGACATAGCCAATCGCCGAGCTTGCAGCTGAACCCCGCGTGATGCGGTACTGAGTGACCCACATTCATCTCCGATGCAGCCTTCGGCTATCCGCTCGCGTGGCACACAGAACGCGGGGTTAACCGGTGCGCCAGCGTTAGTGCCCATACGGAGGTGAAGCGGATTTGATGGCCGGTCAACATGTTGTCTGCGCTCCTCGGCAAAACGACGCGGGACAACATCTGCTGATTTCCAATTCGCCACGCTTTGCGAAGGGCCTAGGCGGTGTTTCGTTGCTTTCCGCGTCGTACGAGGCGTCCAGGAAGAGTGTCCATTTGATCTCCGAGAAATCTGTCGCCGTCTTGGGCCTCGAACCGGTCAATCAGGAACGCGGGAGAGGTGCAGCAGAAACTTGCACGACACGAAAGCAAAGTACCGCATGATGGTCATGCTTCTACAGCACTTTTACAGCAGTCTGGGGCACCTCGGACAACAAACGAGACGTTGCGGGGTGCGGGGGCCCCACCTGCATGACCTCGGTATCGCATGGCAGATGCTACCCCGCCTCGTAGCTTCGTGAGGCATATAAGCCCCAGACGTCCATTGATTCAGAACCCCCCCATGCCCTCGTCCCACATCGACTCCCTCCCTTCTCCTCCCTTTCACCCCCTCTACTCTCCTCCCGCACGAGACTGTTGCGCTTCTTCAAGATGGGTATTCTCAGCAGGGTCGAAGACAGGCCGACGCCCAAGGCCATCTACAACTGGCGTCTCTGGGCTCTGGCCTATCTCGCCTCGTTTGCCTCGATCATGATTGGCTATGATTCCGCCTTCGTCGGAGGTACGCTTGCGCTGCCTTCATTCGTCAAGTCATTCGGCAAGCTCAATGCCAACGTTTCCGGTAACCTGGTGTCCACCTACCAGGCCGGTGCTTTCTTCGGCTCTTTCCTTGGTCACCCTCTGGGTCACTTCCTCGGCCGCAAGAAGGGTCTCTTCATCACCGCCCTGGTCTTTAGCATCGGCGCCGCCATCATGTGTGTCGCTTCACCCGCGACGCACCTCACTCCTATCTTTGTTGGTCGAGCCATTGCCGGAATCGCGATTGGCGCTGCGTCCAACTTGACCCCCATGTACATTTCGGAGATCGCGCCTGCTCCTGCACGTGGTCAGGTGATCGGCCTCTGGGAGATCGGATGGCAGACCGGTGGAATCGTCGGCTTCTTCATCAACTACGGTGTCATCCAGACGGTCCCCTCGAGCGTCAAGCAGTGGCGCATCCCCTTTGCCGTCCAGCTGATCCCCGGTGGTATGTTCCTCATCGCCTGCCTCTTCCTCGTCGAATCTCCCCGCTGGCTGCTCTCCAAGGGCCGAACCGAGGAGGCTCGCAAGAATCTGGCCTACATTCGCCACCTCCCAGTCGACCACCCTTACTTTGTCGAGGAATTCAACGAGATGAGCTATGCGATTGAGCAGACCAACAATGCTGCCGGTGGCAATGGGTACTGGGCCCCCTTCCGCTACCTCTTTGCTCGCAAGCACCTCGTCAAGCGACTCGCCTTCGGCTCCTCGCTCTTCATTTTCCAAAACGGCACCGGCATCAACGCTATCAACTACTACTCGCCAACTGTATTCAAGTCGCTCGGCATCGTCGGAACATCCACTGGTCTTCTCTCGACAGGTATCTTCGGTGTCATCAAGATGATCGGATCCGCGTGCTTCATCTTGTTCCTCGTCGAAACAGTGGGACGACGACGCCTCTTGATGATCTCGTCGAGTGGAGGTGCTCTTGCCATGTTCTACCTGGCCGGTTACATCGCCATCGCTAAGCCTGCCCAGCACAAGAAGGCTAACATTGACTCCGCTGGCACCTCGGCCCTCGTCTTCTTCTACATCTGGACCTCCTTCTACTCTTTCGGATGGAACCCGCTCCCTTGGGTGTACGGCTCGGAAGCCTTCGACAACACCGCACGTCCTGTTGCACAGATCTTCATGGCTGCAAGCAACTGGCTCTACAACTTTGTCATCTCGCAGGCTACGCCGCACATGTTCATCAAGATGGGCTACGGAGTGTACCTCTTCTTCGCCTCGTGCATGGTCATCAGCGTCGTTTGGGTCTTCTTCCTCATGCCTGAAACCAAGGGTATCCCGGTCGAAGAGATGGACAACCTTCACGAGAAGCGTCCCATCCGCCACGCCAACAAGCTCGTCCACGAAGAGCTGCGAATCAAGGCAGCAGAGCGAAGTGGACAGGCGGTCCTGAACGCCTACCCGTCCGACGACGCTGCCAGCAGTGACGAGGACAAATCTGGTATGAACGAAGTCAAGCTCAACACTGCTTGAGTTGAGTATCGTCTCTATCGAACACACATGGTTTCTTCGCAATGGATGCTGATCTCTAGATGATCAAGGACTGTACAAAAGAATCTGCCACGCAATGCATGCCCCGTCATGAGTCACGTCAAACAAATCCGAGTGCGTGCTTGTCTGTCACAGTTGAGTGGAGGCGAGCCGCTAGTCTCGATAGCCAAGTTGCCTGAATTGACTCTGCCCCTCCGTCTGGTAATGACAATCTCACAATCGCGACGTCGTGGAGCTGCTCTCGACTCTCTGATATGATTTGATTCAAGTACCCGTGCACTGATTGGCATGTGCTTTTCGCGTAAAGCGGCAGCCGGCGGGTGCTTGAGACGAATCTGCACGTGCAACAGACCCCGACCTGTCGAATTCTCGCACGCTGCGAACTAAGCGCTGAGGTCCAGCTTCATCTTTCATCACCACGATACGACGAAGACCGTTCGACATCTCTGAGAGGGATCTCAGAACTGCATGTCTGTTGAAAGCTTACTCTTCCTCTGATCATCGGTAACGCGATGGATCCAATCGTGTATCTATCGCAGGTGCGCTTCCATCAATCGATCCACTGCGCTCGTACACAATCTCGAGTCACCTTTGCCCTCGGCGGCGATGGGTGGCATCCGGCCACGATCACCCACTATGGAAACATCAAAAAGATGAGCTCGATGGCTCCTGGCCATTACCGCCACAATGGACCGATCCTTCTGTACCTGCTTCCCTCGGGTTGCAGCAGGTTACTAGGAATGCTGCTGGAAGGCATCTGCCGGGCTCACCAGGTATCCATCCTCGCCATAGATCGACCCGGCAGCGGAGGCACATCCATGTGTCCGCTTCAGGATCGTCTTCAGATTGCAACACAGCAAGCTCAGAGCGTGTTGGAAGCTCTTCAGCTTGACCAGGCCGGCCAGCCTCAGATCCGCCTGATCAGCCATTCGGCAGGCTGGTTCTACGCCCTTTCTTTGCTCGAAGCCGCTCCTCTATACTTTGCCAGACCCGGCTGCGCAACGAGATGCCTCTTTTCTTCGCCGTTCATCCCCACCAGCCTGTCATCGAGTCTAACGTTGTCACTGTTGCCAAAAAGCCTTGTGGCACTCGCGCCTAAGGTGCTGCCAGTTGTGAGCCGCAGTCTGAGCTGGTCCACTGGGCTAGGCGATGACATCCTCAATGTCAGCAAAGGACTCGTCTCGTGGAAGGACACCGAAGTCGATCCTGACTTGACACAAGAGCAGCAAAGACAGGAGCGCGAGAAGCTCGAGTCCAAAGATCGCGAGATTCGTCGACGCAGTGTGGTAAAGAATCCACGGGCTCGGTTTCATCCGCCGTACTCGCCGCATCTGAAGCACGGTCTCAACGCTTGGAAGCAGCCTGACCAGAGTCCCAAAACCACTCCTCGCCATCCAAAAACAGGACGTGCCCTCAAATCTGGCGGCGATCTGCTGTTCGACTACGTGATCGAAGAGGGGTCAATGGCGGGCATGACCGAAGACTATCTGCTGTGCTTGGGCAAGGCTCCTGGGCTCGACAACGAGGCGCTCGCAAACTGGATGCTTGCGAAACTGGAAAGCGCCTTTGGAGCTGTCGCCGCTCTTTCCGGCGCGCCAGCAGAACTCGTTGTACTCTGGGGCGGAGCCGACTTTATGATACCCCAAAAAGGAAGAGATTACCTAGATTCGGTCCTGAAAGATCCGAGATTCTCGGAAAGCATCACGTACCAACAGTGGGAAATGGCGGAAGGCGGTCACGACGCAACATTGTTCGCAGAGAAAGTGATGGTGGATGTGCTCGATTTCTTGTCATGTCTCGACCAAGCGAGATGACATTCTTCATATCGTTTTACAGGAGCAAAGGAAGCATTCACATTGCGATCACTGCATGGCTAAACAGGAATGGTTAGCAGCGTGACACCAGCGCGCTCGATGATCTCCTTGGACAGACGCGCGAGTCTATCTTGCATCTCTTGGTCGCGACTCTTTGCGGGGCCTTCCTCCGGGACGGCAGGAGGACAGATGAAGTTGCCGCCCTTGGTAGGTTGAGTTGCGGAATACATTGCGGATACGCAGCCTTGGAAGATGTCCTTCTTGATCGGATTGAGCAAGTTCATGCCGTAGCCCAAGATGGGGAAAGGCTCGTGAATCCAGACCTGGGTTTGTCTGGTTTCGACGACGCCCGGATGGCAAGCGTTGAAGATGACATGGTCGTGTCCAGCTTTTTGCGAATACTCTCGATCGAGATAGCGTGCGAAAAGTAAGTTTGCCAGCTTGGATCGTGCGTAGAGACTCTGAGGGCCGATGTCGGATTTAAAGTCTGACTCTTGCGTGAAGTCGACCTCTTGAGGTGTCTGCTCGGCAAGGTTAGAGCTGAGGGAGACTACGCGGACATACGTCTGATGCTTTTCAACGGTCTTGTTGAGGAGCGGGAGCAGCGCATCGATGAGGACGACGTGGCCAAGGTGGTTGGTGGACATGTGAGAATCGATGCCGTGTCGGTCGAGAGCGTGGGTCATGATTCCCTTTCCGGCATTTGCAATGAGGATGTCGAGTCGTTCCGTTTCGTCAGTGATCTCACGAGCGACCTTCTGGACGCTTTTCCAATCGGTGAGATCGCACTGCTTCCAAGCCAGTCGGGCGTTCGCATTTGCATCGAGCTGGTCATCTTGGGCAAAGGCATCCTTCGCTTGCGAGATGATGTCTTGCGACTTGGAGAGAACAAAGATTTTGTCAATGTTGGCTTTCAGCAGCGTATGGGTGCATCCGAATCCGACTCCCTCGGAGCCACCAGTTACCAGAGCCACCTTGCCCGAGAGGTCACCGACCTGCTCTAGACTAAAGCGATGGCGGGGCTCGACGAGTTGATGCGGATCCCCCGATCGCGTCGGCGCCACTCCTAGGTTCTCTGCGATGGTGCTCTTGATGGTCTGCATGGCTGTCGGCGTATGGAAAGTTCTGGCTCGAGACGCTCGCTGGTGATTCACTTGGGATGATAAAGGCTGAAGGGCGAGACGATTCGTTGTAGCCTGTCGTATCTGAGGTGCAAAGAAGGATGCTAATCGTCGCATATCACCGTCGTTGTTTCAAGAAGGGGCGGGGGACATTCATCGATTCTGCACGTAGTATATTTACGCACGCACGCACCGAGCACTTCCTTGACGTCCACCTCATCTCGATGTCAGGAACGCTGCGCTATAAGCTAAGCTTGACGTGCGCGGCACGAACCGGATTGTATAAGCAAAGTCAAACATCGTCGTAATGGCGGGAAGCGGTGACGGTTGCTGATTCACGACAACCACAGGCACGCATTGATGATTCACAACGTTTTCGCTTCGCCAAAGCCCATTTGTTTGGGCCGGCTAATTTATCACGTTTTCTTTTGTTTGACAGATGTCGTAGAAAATACTCTTAAAAACAGTGTCAAAATTGCGGCATGTAAAGTCGATGCCGGTTTGCGGGGTAAACTTGACCAGCTCAGTTCAGTCCACAAACGAGTCTCGAAATGGAAAGGATTGCGACTGATTCGATTGCGACGCAGCTGTACAAGGTAGAAACAGAGGTTCTTGGCAGAGATTGGCGCACGCAGATAGGGAGGGCTCAGGCTGCGATTTGACATCAATAGAGCATCGAATCTTCGCTCTCCCTTGTCGCAGCTTCCTTAATTGTTGAGCTTCTTGAACTGGAAGTAAGTCGGGAAGCCAACGACGAGCTGGGTGAGCGTGTACTTGATGGTGGTAATCAGGTCGGCGCCGCGGTAAAGCGAGTAGACAAGCATGGCAGCGGCCTCGGCAGCGTGCACTTTGGCAATGAGGAAGAACCACTTGTCCAAATTGGCTGTGCCACCAAAGATGTTGGCAAAGTTGGGGTTCTCGCGGCCAAAGTACCAGGCAGCGATACCGATGACGGCCAAGGTAGCGGGTCGTTGAGGCAGAGCGTATCGAATCTGTAGCATCACCACAGCGTCACACAACAAGATCAGCGATAGATTCAGCGACGTCGTTCAAGGCGACCAAGTTCCAAATTGAAGCAGCCGCGATGGAGGTTTGTTTGCTCTGTTACTTACAGGGGCCGACATGTTGATGAAGAGCTGATGATGATGGAAGGAAGGCAAGCAGGTAGGTGTCCACCTACGCCAACAAGGACGTCCAAAGGGTCTCCGCTTTCATGCACGGTCGGTGCGTCGTGTCACGCGTGCTGCTCCACATTTTGTGTGGCGACCCTTATTTTGCGAGGAACGCTTCGGCATCGGATGCTGGATAAAGCCGGGCGACTCTGCATCGTCACATCGAAATTTGCGGGATTGCTACGATGGGTCACATTCGAGGTTCAAGTTCCGGATCAGCACGCGGTCGTTCCGTCAACGTCAAGACCCACACACATGAAATCAGGTTAGAAAGACTGGAAACATTCGAGCGAGAACGACTCTGACAGGGACGAGACGGATAACAACAATGCGCAACAGCGCGGAGCCTATAAGTACGCCACAGCGACCCTGACGATAGAAGAGGGGTATCGAGCGATACCTGACTCGTCGAGCAAGAGCCTACCGATGTGGCGACCTGTGTGACCCGCCACGTTACTCGTCGCTGAGCCTGCGCTTGGAAGCAGCCTGGCCGCTGCCGCCGTTGTACGCAGCGGCACACTTGTCGAGGTCAGCGTTGAACCTGCCGGCAAGCGAAGTAGCAGCGCTCTGCTCCGCAGAGGGTGCCAGCTTGACGAGCTGCGCGCTGAAAGACTTGGTCTCCTGCTGGAAGCTGCTGACCGACGACTGCGCCATGCCGAGAACACCGAGCTTCTCGAACTCGGGCTTGAGCTTGATCATCTGGTCCACCACCATCTTGACCTTGACCTCGGTCTTGCCCAGAGTGCTGAGGATCAGCTTGGCGTCGGCGTCCGTGGGCTTACCCTCGAGCGCATTGACGTCAGCTGCGCCCGTCTTGATCTTGCTGGTGAGGTCGTCGGCTGCCTGACGGATAGCTAGGCCGCTCAGGTAGTTGAGCGACTCCACCTGGCAGTGCTGGTAAAGGTTGACCACGCCCGCGTCGATGGCGATGATGTCGCTCTTGACCTCGTTCACTGTCTTGGCAGCCACGATCGAGGCGAGGACTAGAAGCGAGGCAGGGATGGCAACGGAGAACTTCATCTTGGCTTTAGTAGACCTGGAGAGATAGCTTTGCTTTGAGAGTGCTTGAAGAAGAGCGTGAGCTGTGATTGCTGTGAGTAGTATTGTGTAGTAAAAGAGCTGATTGGTTTGGTGAACGAACGCTTCTCCGTCTCAAAACATCCGCTGTCTTTATAGCTTTGAAGTTGAGAAGGTTGATGCATCAGAGTGATCGTACAACAGCTTCTCTGAACAGCGAAGGGGACATGCACGGCAAGCAAGTTCGAAGCAAGTGTACTCCGGCGCAGTGACAGCTCCAGGGCCTCGCACAGCAGAGAGCGCAGTGTTACAGCGTGTATCAGATGTAGGCTCGAGATCGAATCGTTTCATTCGACGCCGTACACCTCATGTCAAGTAACGCTGCGGAGGAGGAGGACTGTGCTTCGCCGATTCCACATGATCACGAGACTACTGAGAATTGCTACAGGCGCTGCGATGACTGAACAGGTCTTCGATGTACACGCCAATCACAGAATCAGTCGTCTCTTACGGCACTTGCTCAGCGATCAAAGCCGAATTGCTCGCTGCCGATTGATGAGCACCGCCGCAGTAAGAGCTCGCGAGCTCGAGATACATCCTTGCACTTGCACGATGCTTAGCATGTATGAGCACGCACCCACGCGTATCGTGATGCACGGCTTGCCATGCTAATCGGGGGGGCTCGACCATGATGAACAGAGCCGAGCACTAGCGACCCACCAGAGAGCTTACCCTGCTCTTGCCGACTCTTCATGATTGCAGGCGTTTGAGTCGGGGGAGCGCACTCCTCATACGGCGCCCTCGCACGACCCTGTGGCGTATATCGCACTAGACATCGCCCGATTCCGGATCGTCCTCAATATCAACTCATGCTGCACAGACCGGAATCGGCCTCAATATTAACTCATGCTGCACAGACTTGGATCTTTCTGCACTTTGTCCGGAGACAATCGTTCCGATGTTAAGCAACCATGCAACTGTACAAGTCATCCCTTCCGCAGTCCGCGAACATGAGCATCAATGAGGGAGGAAGTGGCCAAGACGTCACTACTGAAGATGCCTAGAGGCTCTGAAGCGCAAGAATTCGCTCGGCCGTGATGCGTCGACCCACAGCAATGGTCTGACCACCGACTAGCTCCCACGCATGAGGCAAACCTTTGTATACGTTCAAGTCGACCTGGACTCCTGCCTTGTGCAGTCGTCGAGCATACTCGATGTCTTCCTCCACGAAAATGTCGAGCTGACCGACGTCAATGTAAGTATCTGGCAGACCGGAGAGATCCTTCACTCTGGCTGGAACGGCGTACTTGACCAGCTCGTTGACTTTGTCGGTTCCGGGAACGCCTTTGCCGAGCAAAGCCGACCAGCCGGTCAAGTTGTTTTCGTACGTCCACATAGCGAGCGGTGCGATTCGTTCGTCCGCTGTCAGATTGCGGTCGTCAATCATGGGATAGATGAGGATTTGTTTGCGCAACGGCGGCGACAGACCCTTGTCACGAGCTTGCAGAGCCACTCCGGCTGCGATACCTCCTCCCGCCGACTCGCCAAACACGCCGATTCTGCTGTTGTCGATGCCGAGCGAAGCAGCATTCGACGAGAGCCATTCCAGTGCATCGTAGCAGTCATCGACCAAACCATCAAGCTGGTGCTCTGGTGCAAGACGGTATTCGACGCTGAAGAAATCAATGCCGGTGGCAGTGGCCAACCCCCCAACGATTCCTGATTCAACCCAGATCTCCGCAGAGCCGGCTACCATGCCTCCGCCATGGATCTGTACAACAGCGGCGCCGTTTTCTTTGCGATGCGGCGGCGATACCTGGATCACATTGATGGTTGCGCCATCTCGGGTCTGCACCTTGTGCGTCTTGCTTTCGGCGGGGTGTTTGGGAGATCCTTGGCCAACCATGCGAAGCAAACCGTCGAGATTCTTGCGATGAGTTTCGACGTCGTGCAGCTTCGCCTTCGGTCGTTCAGCCAACACGGCCTGTACCGGGCCGAAGATTTTGGCAAACTCGGGATCGTACTTGAATGCGTTGGACTGCGACATCTTTGTCAATGGTCGCGAAAGGAATCAGGGAGAAGCTCAAAGTTGGTTCGGAGAGAGCAAGCAGGCACTGGCACGCAAGTATTTAGAAACGCTTTTTGAGACCGGCGGTCACCTGCTTGCAACATCGCTTTGATAGCCGAGCCTCGATCGACCCTTTGACAGGTCGATGCTGATCTGTGCTCGACACACAAATTCCTCCCGCGAGCGCAATTAGCTAACTTTCTTGGATTGACGCGCAGACGGCAGCAACCGACCGCCAGGAGCATTCCAACCTAGACTGAAATGCTTGGAAGACGCCCTAATACCATACATGCAAACAGCAGGCACATGCAACAGCAGTTGCATCGCGTTTTCAGAACTTCCTCTGACCTTGTCCCGGGTTGAAGACCATATTGGAAGCCTTTTCCTTACGATCGTCGTCGACCTTCTGATGAGCTGGCGTCGATTCGAGTTTGAGAGCCTGGACAGCGTCAGCCATTCCATATTGGCGCCAACCAAAATCGTTCACCATGGCTTCGAGCATCCAAGCCAGCTCCAGCTGCGTGACGTTTCCGACAGCTTCTGGTGATACGCTTTCGTACAAGACCTCGAGCTCATCTAGGCTGAAAGCTGACTGTGAGTCTCTGATCTTGTCTTCGGCGAGCGTGGTGGTGCTATGATGCTTTTCCATCTCGCGTGCGACGAACTCGCCACTAACGGTCTTTGTGGAAGAGGCTCTGTTTGAAAGCGTCGAAAGGAAAATCAAATCGGTGTGCCCGTGTGCCGTCAACTTGACGTCCTTCGGAAGGCGGTCAGAGTTGTGCAAGTCGAGGTCTGTCCCTGGGCTCCGTTCGCCCGCTCCTCCATTGGCAGCAGGCACGAACCAGAATTCCCGGAACCTGCCGAAGATGGGAGCTTCGTCGGGCTGCCTTTCCCCTCTCGGTGCCTCGTGACTGTTGCCTACATTGCTGTTGCCAAGGTCGGTATACCACATCTTGGCATTCCGAAAGTCGCCTTCGAGCTTGTGTAGGATGGCGTGCAGCCAATCCAGGTACCGGCTGCCTCCTTGGGCTTTCCGAACGAGAAAGTGTGCAGAGTAAAGATCACCCTGTACCACGGAAGCAAGAGCGTTCGGGGTCAATATCGATGTTAGTGTCCGTGCTCTGAGAGCCTTTTGCCTACGCAGTGCGGCCTTGCGTCATGTAGAAAGGCACTCACATTGATCAAGTGGAGACAAGCCTCGATAGCTGGGTGAAACGAACCTTCGGCAATGACGCCCTGAAGTTCAGCATGATTTGGACGATTGTGTGGCACGGCATCTGATGGTAGACCTGGCGTGCTCTCCAGCAACCTCGCAAGCCATTGCGGCGGTCTCGACGCGGTGCTTGCGACAGAAAAAGCCCCCGTCAGACTGTCCTTGAGCTCAATGAGCTTCTTGTTCATGCTGATTGGCGGCGTGAACTGGAGAGGTAGCCGACTTCCAGGCCGGCGTAGATTGAAGTCTTACTGAACGTCGTTAGCAAAGGATCTCGCAGGCACAGAAGGAATGATGACCAAGCTTTCGCTTGTCGGATCGAGGTGAGCAAGCGATTCTTCGAAAGTCGTCTCGATAGTTGTGGAGGCAACGCTGACCACGCTGACTTCATCTCGGCTGTCAAACCAAAAATTGGCCGAGAGCGCGATCCTTCATGCGAGCTTAGTGGTGACATTCTATTGGCTTTCCAGAAGCAGGTGGCATTCCTAAATGCTCGCAAATTCTCAGCACACTCGAAGACATTGACCGTTCTGGGCATCTAAAGAATTCTCGTGACAACGTGACAAAGCTAGGGTTACAGACACCGGGAGCTATTTGGGGTATGGAAAGAAACTGGTCTCATTCTTAAGAGGCAGTCAGGGGGAGGGCAACCTGAAAAAAGCCGAGAAACGCTCTAGATCTTCTTTTCGCTGCTACCAGACGACTGACGGTCGAACTGAGGGGCGGCCTGGTTGCCGCTTTCGAGGACAGCGATGGTGTTGTTTTCCTCAGCGGCTGTTTCGTCGACGTAAACCTGGTTCTCAACCTCGTAGTTCGAGTCGCGAATGCCCCAGATGACCAAACCGGCAAAAGGGAACGAGAAGAGCATGAGGCCAAACACGGCACCGATCTCGTTGATGTAAGGCACCAAGGTGGCGTCCATGGCAAAGGCAACGGCAGCACCGGCCGACTGAACAGCCTTGTACATGCCGGCAAATCGGGCGAGCTCGAAGGGGTCGTTGGTGATGGCACCCATGATCCAATAGGCAAGACCCTGGTAGAAGGCATCGCCAATGTCGTAAAGGATGAAGATGGACATGGGCTCGGCAAAGGTGGAGTCGTGGTAGTTGATCTTGCGCTCCCAGTGAGTAGCACGTGTGATGGGGATCTGGTACTTGACACCCCAGCTGTAAGCGATGATGGTGAAGGATGCAGTGACAGCAAGACCAACAAGGCCGCGGTTCCTTCGTCCCATGGGCAGCTTGTCAAGCAAAAAGCCAAGGATCAAGGCACCAACGATCTGACCGACCGCCTTCACAACACCATTGACACTTCGGGTTGCCGAGTCGAATGTCTTGAAAGCGATCGATCCTTGATAAGGGTAGAAGAAGTTACTGGCGAAGAACATGGGCAGAAGCAGCAGGATCTCGCGCTTCTTGAGCGTGCTAAGCAGAGCGGCGATCTCCTGCCTGGCTGTGTTGCTCTTTTCCACTTTGACGAGCGTGCCGTCGGTGCGGACGACGCGGCTGGGAGGGAGGAGGGTCCAGGTGGAGGCGACACCGACCATGATGACGGCGAAGAAAGCGATGTAGGTGGTGGTCTTGACTGCGTCGAGTCCGCCCTGCTTGAGGTTGATACCAAGGGCGATGAGACCACCGAGAAGGGAACCACAGTTGAAGATGGCCCAGAACCAAGCGAAGGATCGTCCCTTCTCGGCCTCGAGAGGGTAAGAGAGCATGATGCAGCCCTGAGCGGTCCAGAGGAGGGCTGCGCACATGCCGAGGACGGCACCGGAGAAAATGAGGAACCAGTCCTGCGCTTTCTCTTGGTAGACCCAGAGTGCTGCTACGTAGAGAGCATAGCCGAGCGAGCCGCAGAAGAGAGTGATACGAGGACCGAAGAGGTTGTTGAAGGACCCGGCCACGATACCGGTCAACGCGAAGAGGGCATACAGGATTGCATTGGTGATGTTGGACAGAGTGATGGACTGGGTTCCTCCGGCTCCGAGAGATCCGATGGCGCTGAATTGACCAACACAGCAGAAGCAAACGAAGGAGACCAAGAGGACTTGGACGAACGGCGAATTGTATCGCCAGGATGAGTGAACCTTCATCTTGTCAAGATGGCGATGGCGCTGGAAGCACGTCGAGGAGTGTCAGCGGTGGTTGTCGTTTATGATGGTGCGTCGTATGATTCGAGGTGGTGAACCAGGTCGACTGCGGATAGTGGAGAGGGTGGAATCCGAAGGAGTGTGATTGATGGGGAGGCCGGTAAAGAGGGAAATGATGGTGGGTAGATATAGGCTCGAGCGGAGGGATGGAGTAAGATAGTAAGATAGCGTCGACGTGTGGTGAATTGCACCGAGACGCAGGAAGCGAGGCGCGGGGTGCAGGGATAGGCTTGATGCTTGTTGTACTCGTGTTCCAGCATTCAAGCTCTCCCATCCTTCGAGCCAGGACAAGGTTGGTCGGTGCTACGGCGGCGACAATCACGCGGTAGGCTACGCGCTGCCATAACGCAAGACCACATAGGTATCGATGGACCCTGCACAAGGTCATACGACGTCGAAGCGGTAGAGCTGCCGAAGGACGGGGATGTTGTCGAGTCGAAGCTCATGCAGTCGTCGGTGGCGGATCGGAGCGTCGACAGAGTCAGCGGCACACGAGCGATATGGATAAGCTCTTCAAAGCTCTTGAGTGCGGGGTTGACCGATCGCTTTCCCGAGCTCGCTGAGACTGGCAACGAGCGAGAGGCACTCGTCGTCGGTCGTCGGGGACATAACTTGACCGGCCCGTTCGTGCATCAGGGCGCTAAGCGAGTCGTATCTGAAAGTGTCCAGGAAGACGAGGGAGCGCTTTCCACATGCCCTTTGCCACGCAAACGATATTGATAAGCTCGTGGTGACGCTCATCAGACATGCATTTCATATCAGTCACTTCATGCCCGATCAAGCGCGAAGATACCTCATCGTTATGATGCAGTAGTGTCAAGTATTATGTTTGTCTGCCAAGCACCGACGTCGAGTGCTACAGAGTATCGGTACCGGACCTTAATCTCTGTGCAACTTCGGCTAACGCAGCTGTAAAAAGGCAGGAAAAGCAGGTTCAAGGGACGCTTCTGCAGCACAGAAGGACCCTGTTTGAGGCGTTTGGAGTGAGAATCCACGCGAGCACCCGCAGTAATGTTAAAGCCAAGAAGCAGCCAGGGATGCGCGGCGCATCGGGGTGCTTGACGCTCTTTCGCTCATTTTTCTCAGCTCGGTCCGACGTCGGCATGATTGGCTCAAAGCCAAGCTCGGGAACTCGCCCCTTCCCTCTGGACTTCTGGTGCACTAGTACAGCGAGCCGCGCGGACGTCGTACCTCAAGTTGATGACCAACAACCGCCTGAATCGGCCAGCATCAGTCAAAGCGCTGCTCAGCTGTTCGCTGATAACATTTATGCACATGAGCCTCACGGGTCGCGAGCGTCGTTCAGGAACGCGGAGATTATCCACAGGTTCGGACCGGCGTCCCACAATGAAGCATGAATGATAAGGTCGAAGCTTCTCGTCGTCCATTACATTTGTATGGATCTGGCTTGACATTTGCAAGCTGATAGCCGGAAGTGTCGCGTGCCTGTGAGCTCCGCTCCAAGGCGGCCTACCGTACCCTTGTCACAAATACGACGCTGCGAGAATTCGGCACATTCACCGTTCGAGTAGCGGATAGCACGGTGGTACGAGTCGGAGCTCTAACATGATAGGACTGCGCCGCGCCCGAGGGCATCTCCTGGTCAAAACCATGGATCTAGTCGAGCGGTGAACTTCAGAATGTCCCAAAGACCGAGGTGGTGTCATATGACCTGTTCCGGTGTTTTGCGCCGTCTGCCGAACGCAGATTGCCACGTGTAAGAGAGAGAATGGCCGCTGTGCTCTAAATGAGTAGCGCATGCGCTTCCGCTCGCTTGTTCCTGCAGCTAAGGAAGTGCAGCGACTGACATAGCCTATAAGTCAGGCGTGAAGACAAAGTGAGGATCGGTGAGATAACGTGGACGCTTGCCTTTCGGCGATCTCGGCCCGTGACCTAGATCGGTACATTATCTCAGACGCGCACGTATCAGCGCGAGGCTCATTTGTGCGATAGCGTTGTCGTCTACAACTGCTTGATATCACAAGCCGCTACGATGTTCCTACGCAAACGACCGCGATGAATCCAAACGCAGCTTACCTGATGCATAGAGAAGTGAGAGAAACGCGCATTGGTCGACGTGGGCGCGAGTCACGAATCTAATGCGAACATCAGATGAGCTTGTCGATTATAGGGCTGCAATAATGTGGTGTAGTATACAAGTGTAGACTCAGGTCGTCACCATTTGCGACCAAGCTGCGAAGAGGGACGAAGGAGAGAGCAAAAGGTGGTCAGCGAGAGAAACCTGACACGGCACTGAGTGATGAATGCAGACATTCCTCTCTATAATCTGCTACGCGTGGAAGCCGAAGACTTGGGAGTCGATGCATGAGTGCTGGCTGGACTTGGCTAAGACGTACCCTTTGCTGGACGCAGGCTTTGAAGGCGATGAACTCCTTCTGGCACATGTTACGCTCGATGTTCTCGTAGTTGGCTGTGACGCATTGGCCGTAGATGCGCGCCTGTTGGAGACGAGAGCATGTCCAGGAGGACGAGAGCATTTATCGTTGGTTAGTAACTGATCGGTGATGACAAATGGCAAAGCTGTGAGTAACGCAACGCACCTCTGACGAGCACTTGGCCGCGGCTTTGGCAAAGGTCTGCACGGGAGCTACATCCCTCTGCTTGATACCACCGGGTCGCATGACCTTTGCTGATCGGCCAACAGGTGTGTTGGTGCCGTCTGACGGATGCGAAGATGGTGGGCACGATCGAATCTTCGCCACGAAGATTCACCACGAAGATGTCTTTGTGTGGAGGTTAACAGGGCATAAGTGGCCACCCTCGCATCGGGCCAAGATGGGATCATAGAACCACCGATCGATTACTCGTGCCGGCCGACAAGCGACCAGCCGGCGCTTCCGGATTGCGGGACAATTGAAAGCTCGACTCGAAATGCACGCTCCGGAAAAAGTTGCAATTTCCCACTGAACGGGAACAGGCAAGCGCCTTGATGAGAACTCGGCTGCTCGCAACAGAACGCAATAAATGGTGGCGGTCAACCTCTCTCCCAGGAGCCTCAGCACACTCCACTGGAGTAGGCTGACCTGAAATACGCTTATGCTTGGAACTCGAAGATAGTGTGGCGAGCCAGCAGCATTAACGCGAGCTCAGGTACGAGCAGCCGTCTGAGTAGTGACGAGCGAGGTGAAGAGCGAGCTTCTCGAAGCATACAATAAAAAAAGAGGGTCCAGACCGCTTCGTCTCCGGAAAAATTGGCACGCGATTCGAATCAATCGAGAACATTATTGTCTGGATGTCAAGCCCGTGTTGCGGTGCTGCCTGTGTTGTCTGTTCGGTCGGCTACTGCTTCGGCTTCCCGACCGGTCCTGTGCCTGGCACGACTATCGGAGCACTTGGCAAAGAGCCTTGATCTCGTACAGCACACTTTGTTTCTCTTCATCTTGTCTGCCCATCATCCTCCTCGTTCTTCATCACCATCATCCACATCGTCCTCAAGCACGCCAACCACTCGAGCTGTGCTTTCAAGAACAATCGACACGATGCACGACCAGAACAAGCCAGAACTGTTTGCAGAAGTCGCGGATCCGTATCTGCGCCACTGCCTGCAGATCGTTCAAACCACGCTGACCAACTTTGTCTACATCGGATCAGGCGCCAAGATCGCATACCGCTGGCTCAATGTCGAGGTGGATGCATTTCTCCAGATTGCCGCCGAGAATGGAGCTGGCTCCTCTTCGACCCCTCTGCCGCAGCCTCCAAGGCGATCCGAAGTGCCGCTGCTTCTACACTGCGACTTCCGTGCTGGCATGGACATGTGGGATCCGCTCTTCCTCGCACATTTGCTCAAAGCACGACCGCTCATCATCTTCGACCCATGCCACTGCGGCAGATCCGTCTCGAACCGCGATACGCGACCCTACATGGGCTCCTTCTACAAGTGGGCAAAACACGCCGTCGCAATTGCCGACTCGCTCGGAATGGCCGAATACGACGTGCTGGGCTTTGCCATGGGCGGTGCAGCCGCTTTGCTGACTGCGCTCTACCCGAGTCCCGCCACAACACGCGTCCGCAAGATTGTTGCAGCAGCAACCACAGGTCCAGCCATCTCGGCGCGACTGTACGAGGAATGCTCGCGAAGTTCCATGTCGATCGCATGGCCCCGCGACGACTGGAATCTCATGAACGCATCGCGGCTCTCGCTCAATGACGGCAACCGACCCGAAGAAGTCAAGCAGGCCATGAAGCACACCTTCTTTACCGAGTCCCAGGCAGGCCAGCAAGCGCTCGAACAGCATTGGGAGCGCATCAACAGCTTCGCCCAGTACCGATCCAAGTTGCCGTCCGAAGCGCCGTTTATCGGTCTGCTCGAGGATCGACGCGAGCTCGGTCCTTTGCGTTGCCAACGATTGGCATGGAGGAGCTGGGAGACGCTGCCACAGCAACGTGGAGGTGCCTACACGGATCCCATGGCCAAAGTCAACGTCCCCGTTCTCGTCATGAACGGCATCAACAACACGCTCATCCCGGCAAGCAGGAGCTGGGAGCTCATGTGTCGCTTACCCAAGCCAGCCTTGAATCTGTACGAGGACTCGGGCGCGGGCTTCATTTGGCAGTATCCCGAGCGTGTAGCAAAGGACATCAACTACTTCTTGGACTATGATCACTCTCACCTCCAACCTCAGGTGCTACCCTCGGCTTCACTTCCCACACCGACCGCAGCCATGCCCAACTATCCACCCATGTCACCGCCGGCTCCCACATCACAGGCAAAAGCGTCAACACCAAGTCCCGTTGCCAACATCTCGCATCCCTACTTTTCCAACACACCAACCGGTCATGCGCAAACCCACCAGCCGTATCTGCACAATGTGCCTCCCAACTTTCATCCTCTGGAACACGAGCGTTTGCAAAGGGCCTCTAAGCTCTAGACTCATTCCTGTTGGTTCCGATTCTGTATCTTTCCTGCCTACCTTTGTCCTGTAGTCGTCTTTGGGTTTCAACTCGTCATCAGTCTTCAATGTCACCGTGTCTTTCTGCTTCAAAGCTGTGTGTCTCTCCTCGTCTGTCGCGATCACATCCCGCAATCCCAGCGGGCAGTGCTGCTCGCCGTTCGCATGACAAAATCGAATGCGGTTACGCGCCAATATCGTTATACATAAAGAAACAGAGATAGGCTTCAGTCCTCCCCTTCTGCGACGATTAGCGTGTTCGCGACAGATCCTGGAAAGCGCTCTCGATACAGTTCTTGATCTCTCGGTAGCTGACCACCAGACAGCTCTGCTCGTCGCGCGAGGTGAGCATGATTTTCTCGTCCGTGCCCGCGTCGAGCTTGTTGAGATTGGTCAAGATGTGGCTCAGATCCACCACGGGTCGACCCGCTTCGTCGACCGAGTGGAACACGTGGTCGCGGAACAGCTTGATCACGTACCGATCGCCCGTCTCTGCCCATCGAGGATCGTGATCAAATTCGGGGCGCTCGTTGATAAAGCCAAACTTGCAAAGCAGTCGCACAAGACGACCGTTCTCGAGCTCCTTCATCAACGAATTCTCCATGAGATCCGTGTAGTTGAGCGCGGAATCCATCTCGTCGGCAGAATGGCTGGCAAGCACCTTGACGAGCTCGCTGACGTTTCGAGTCACTTCGGGAGCGTCTTCACCCGTCGACTCATTTGGAGCAGGCTTCTGGCCAACCAGCCAAGCTACAACATTCTTCAGCTCGGCAGAGTAGCGACCGGCGAAGGTGGCCAGACTGGAGCCAATGTCGTTGGTCGCGGAAACGCTGTTGAGACCAATGCTCAGGATGAGAGCACCCAGATTGACCATATCCTCCGATTGCTGAGCCTTGAGCGCATCCGAGCCATTTTCGTCGGGATTGTACGCGATCACGTCGAACACGGAGCAGCAGTTGATGCGGACACGGTTCTTTCCCGTGCGAAGCACCTTGCTGGCCTCGATGCATCGCGCTGCGAGGTTGCTCGAGTGGATGGAGCGTAGGGACGAGGTCAACTGGCAGAGGTAGCTCCACAAGGTGCGCTCGGGCACTTGCATCGAGACGGGCTGCAATCGACCGGTCCGACGGTCGGGCTGAGCTGCCTTGATGGTCATGTGCTCGGCGTACAGCGTAGTCGCCAAGGGGTGATAGTCGTAGACGAAAACGATCGACTGATCGCCAAAGGCGCGCGTGGTGAAAGCCTCGCGCACGCTGACGATGCTGGGATGACGAATGCGACGCCAGCGTTCGACGAGCGCGATGGCGGACTCGTGCTGCAGCCTGAAGCCCTCGATCCTTCGCAACACGTACCTTTTTCCATCGAGCGTGCAAGTGGCTTTGTACGAATGGCTGCGGTATCCAAACACTTTGCTGTGGTCTCCCGAGGCGCCCGTGGCACCGTTCGAGCCAGGATTGCCCATACGTGGATCGATCAATCCAGGAGGCAGTCCCATCGTGGAAGGTGCGCCGGGCCCAGGATGCTCGAGCGGGACGAGCGAATGGTAGACGTGCAGCTCTTCGGGCAGATTCGGACCACCCAGCTCGGGAGGAGGTACGCTTGCCAACATGGCCTCCTGCTTGCGTTGCAGTTCCTCGCGCTGATTAGGATGGAGGAAGAAGGCGTTGGCAGTGAGGTGATGCGGATGCAGGTTGGATACGTGCGGCAGCGGTGGGGCGTAGAGGTGGTAGTGCAGCGGCTGACGAATCTTGGCGGCGCCGTTGGCGGCAGCTGAATAGTAGTCCATGCCTGCGCCTAGACCGAGATTGGGTGGACCTTGTGGCGCCGTGGGATCGCCAAATTCGTTCATGTGTTCGTAGGGATTGTATGGACGCGAAGGCTGCGCTGAAGGAGTCGACGCACCCATCTGTTGCTCGTGAGACGTGCTGGCGGTGTAGGACGGGTCGAACGAGCTGTTGATGGGATCGATATCATAGCTCGATGTGTACATGTTGGAGGTCCCTGGTCCGTTGGAGGTGTATGCGCTAGCGGCGAAGTCTTTGGAGCTTGCCGAATCGATCCTCATGTCGCTGACTTCCGAGGTGACGCCGTCGAGCGTCGATCTCGGGGTTGGTGCCGGTGAGGCAGCTGAGATCGAGGGGGAGGAGGCGCCGTTGACCTTGGGTACGAAGACAGCAGCTGCGACGTTGCGGGCGCTGAGGGCTCCCTTGAGGGGGCTCGAAGGGGCGTTGAGGACGCCTCGAGATTTGTTGGGCGAGCTAGCAGGCGACGCGGCCGAAGCAGCCGAGAGCCCCGAGGCATACTGTGAAGCAGGAGACTTGGGAGTCTGGGACGGTGGTGTAGTGGTCGATGCAGAAGTGTGGTCAAAGGGACACCCGTCATTCTGGTACTTGCAATGGCCATATATGGCTACGTTGCGGCACGGTTTCCGGGCCGAGGCGGTGGCATTGGTTCCAGTGGGAGACTTGGCTGCTTCCGGCTGCGACGCCCCTCCTGCGGCTGTAGCTGCACCATAGGACAGTGCAGGTTTCGATGCTATACCATGAGGAGGAGGCGTGGCGACAGGCGCCACGATGGGAATGGCCGAGCTGCGCGTTGGCCTCGGAGGAAGCGCTCCACTGAACGCGGACGACGACTGGACGTGCTGCTGTTGTGGCTGCTGCGAGTGGTGATGTTGCTGCATGGCAGGCCGATTGTGTAGCTGGTGCGGCGATGGTTGCTGCTGCTGGTATGACTGATGGTGCTGGTGCTGAGGATGATGGGAAGGTCCAGAAGAATGATGTGCCGCGTGGTTGAAGGGAGATGGTGCCTGTGGTTGTTGTTGTTGTTTATGCTGGTGGTGGTAGGGCGGTTGCTGCGACTGAGAATAGGGATACATTGCTGATGATGATGATGATCGTCATTTATTCAGATTGTATGTTCAAAGACAGGCGAGCTAGGGAACGGCGGAGAAGTCGATGATGGTGAGTCGATGATGGTGAGTCGAGAAGGTGAGATATCTCCGGATGCCCCTCGATCGGGATCACAAGGCGAAATGCGGTCGCTGTTAGTATCGGGTCGAGGATGTACTCGACATTACGCCTCCGAACATGAACGGAGCTTCCGAGTGAAGTGGCAGCGATGCGATGCGATGAAGGAGATGGTGGACGGCGATTCCGACATGTCGATGAAGTGACCATTTCCATGCACTCTCGATACCGTGCACCGTGTTCGTGTTAGCCTGCCTGCCCGTGCTCTGCTGCTGGCTGCTGTTGCTGTCGTCTGTGTCGGTCGGCTTTTGCGTAGGCAGAGGAATCGCCCTCAATCATCGCTGGTCGGCTGCTTCGTCCTTCAACTCGCCTCTTTTTTCAGTGTGGTGCCTCTCATCAAACTGCACCGTCGAAAAAAATCCAAATGGAACAGCACAAGTAGAGAGCTAACAGACGGCAGGTGCATAAAAATCAAATTTTGTAGCAGGCCAATGGAACGCGATCCTCAATTTCTGGTTCGGGCTTTCCTGTGTGTGGGTGAACGCAGTCCGCATACTGCAGCAGCAGCAGCACGGCGCTCTGTGTGAGACGACTTCTTCGCGAATTGAACCCTTTGCGGGAGAGACACCAGAGCGCGCAGTCACACCTCTCTTTCCGTTCAGCACGCCGCGGGCGCCACTTCTTTCCGTCGTGACTTTCTGGTGTAAGAGTGGCAGGGTCGAACTCCTCTAGTCTCGTCGCAACGAGTTGTAAGGGGCATCGCCTAATCTTGTCGGTTCTGATGGCTCCTTCACGACTTCATCCACATAGCCCTATCAACGTCCTGCTCCATCGTAACAGCCCGCAAGCACGCTACCTGTACCTTCTAAGCTCTTCTATCCGTCAGGCTTTCAACTCGACTCTGGACGTCAATTGCCCTCCGCCGCTGTCAATGGTCTCACACTGCCTCGGCTCTTCCGGTTGAACACGGTCCATCGCAGACACTCTGTCGGAGAGCCTCCGTGTGGAAGCGGAATAGACGATGCGTATTCTGCTCAACTCTTTGTGACCGCAATCCGCATCTTGCACCGTGACTGCGGCTCACAAAACTGCCTGCAGGCACATCCTCGTTGCTCGCTCTCATCTCGCATCCGTTTCAGGGCCTTTGCAACAGCATGGACTCGTCACATAGCGGCGCTGCGTCGGCAGCGGCTCCTTCTCCATCTTCTGCTGTTGCTCCTCCCAATGTGGAAGGCAACGTCAGCGAGTTCTCCCAGACAGTCGATGTCAAGACCGACTCTTCACCACACTCTTCAGCATCCTTACCGCCACCGTCACCACGCCCACCACCGCCACCAGCTTTCACACCTTCCCCTTCGCCGCCTCCACAGACAGCGTCGACGAGTGCAGCAGCTCACAGTGTTTCAAGCGCATTGAAACGTTCACCTCGTTCGCCTTCTGCCATCGACGCTACTCGCTCGCCCTCAGATTTGCATCGCAGCGATTCAGCAGCCTCGAATACTCCATCGGCCATCGACGATGAGAGCGCACTCGACCCTTATGATGAGGCTTCTTCCATCTTTGCAACCACCCCTTCTGCACGCAAGCAGAAGCTGAAAGTACAACCGCAACTGATCGAGCATCTTCCTCTCGCGGAGGATGCAGCCATGGCCACCTTCCAAGAGATCACCTACAACGACTATCACGACAAGAAGCTCGGCAGACCACCTGGCAAATTCGACGACTACATGATCTGCGATTGCAGTACTAATAGTGAAAACCAAGATCTGGCCTGCACCGACTACTCTGGCTGTATCAACCGCATGACTCAGATCGAGTGCTCCGCTTCAAAGTGTCGCTGGGGCAAGCTGTGCCACAACCAGCGCTTCCATCGACGCCAGTACGCCAACGTCGACATCGTCCAGACCGAAAAGAAAGGCTTCGGTCTCCGTGCCTGCCAAGACATACCCAAGGAGACGTTCGTTTACGAGTACGTTGGCGAGGTCATGAATCAACCCACATTCCTGGATCGTATGCAGCAGTACCGTGTAGAAGGGATACGACATTTCTACTTCATGATGCTTCAGCCCAACGAATACCTCGACGCGACCAAAAAGGGCGGTAAGGGGCGATTCATCAATCACAGCTGCAATCCTAACTGCTCCGTGTCCAAGTGGCAGGTTGGCAAACATCTTCGAATGGGCATCTTTGCCAAACGCGACATCCAAAAGGGCGAAGAGCTCACTTTCAACTACAACGTCGACCGCTACGGCAACGATGCGCAGGAGTGTTTCTGCGGCGAGCCCAACTGTGTAGGCACCCTCGGCGGCAAGACGCAGACTGACCTCAGCGGCATGGACGACCTCTTCCTCGATGCTCTCGGCATCTCGGACGAGGTTGAGCAGACCGAAGCCAAGGGGTCACGGCGAAAGCGCGGCAAACGACTCGATCTCGATTTCATCCCGCAAATGCGGCCCATCCAGGAGCACGAAGCCACTCGCGTCATGACGGCCGCCAGACAGGCCGGACCCAAGCGCGAGATCCTCGAAAAGCTCCTACGCAGGATGGAGATGACCACCGATGTCAATGTGCAAAAGTCGCTCGTCAAGCTTCATGGATTCATCCTCATGCAGTTCTTGCTCGAGCAGTGGTGGAACGATCGCGACATTGTGCTCCTTATCGTCAACGTTCTCGCACGATGGCCGCTCATCGCACGCAACAAGGTCATCGATTGCGGCGTCGAGGACCAAATTCGCATCGTTGCCGACACATATCGACCAAAAGCCGAGATTTTTGAGGAAGACCGTAAGCCGAGCCTGGAAATCAAGAGCGAAATCAAGGCGGAGCTCACTGACGCCGACAACAACGGCGATGCTGACCCTGGATCAGCACCAGCGCCTGTGCTCATCGGTGCGCCTCCAGCAGCTGACGCCGAGGTATCTTCTCGCGCCGAGCACCTCCTTGGAGCATGGAAGAAGCTCGATATGACGTACCGCATCGCACGCAAGGACGCTATCGACGGCGAAGACACCAAAGACGCTGCTGCAGTGACTACGTGGGTCGACCGCCGAAGATTGCAGGATCTCGAGGATGCTCTTGACTTGGACCTCGCCCAGGCCCCTAATGCAGTATCTTCGGAACTAGGCTCGGCTCTCTCAGGCGATCAAGATCTGCGCGAGAGTCAGCCGACATGGCAACCGCCACCCGCGCCTCCTTCGATGGCAAATAATGCAGCTGCGAAGCGTTTGAACGGATTCGGTCATCCAAGAGCATCGCCAGGCAGCTTCACGCCAAGTCGTCTTCAATCTTCAGGTCAGAGCCCACTTACTCCGGATCAAGTCGCTTCTGCTCTTTCGTCGTCTTTGGCCAAATCGCTTCCCGGCCTTGTCTCGTCGCTCAAGCAACAAGGAATCCAATTGTCGCAACAGCAACAGCAGCAGCAGCAGCAGCCTACGCCACAGCCTGCTGCTCCGCAGGCAAAGTCGATCGAGGACATCATTCGCGAGGCAAACGAACAAGAAGAGCGTGCACGCAAAGAGGCCGAAGCTGCCGCCAAAGCAGCGCGCGAGCTCGAGCTGAACGGTGGTCACACGAGCAGCGCTTCCCGCAAGCGTCCTTCCTCTTCGTCTCGTCACCCGGACAAACGAGTCAAGCACTCATCGTCTTCGTCATCGAGCCACTCAAATCCGAAGCACAACTCGACCAGCGTCTCAACTGCGGTCTCGAGTGTCGACGCCAACGCGGGCGCTGCCGAGTTGGCAGCCAGCAACGAACGCCGATTGCGCAAGCTGGTGGGCGAAATCGTGGTACGTCAAATGTCGAAACACAAGGACGAGTTGGAGCGCGAAAGCTTCAAGCGTCACGCCAAGGAGCTGACCAACGTGATCGTGGGCAAGGAGATGCGCAACCCGAAATCGTGGCCTCCCGCACGAGGCGCCACCTTGACGGACTTGGCGTCGGACAAAAAGGCAAAGGTGAAAGCATTTGCAAAAGAGTACATTGACAAGCTCTTGGCAAGGAAAGGGAAGGGAAAGGGCTCAACTACGCCGTCGAACAACAACGATGGCGTCAGCAGCAGCGTCAACGGCAGTGTATGAAGGCCAGACACGCCGCTTACGCATATCCGCATATCATCTTGCTATTCATCACATTTACAGTGTATTCTTACCAACATCTCTCGTCTGGGCTGGGTATCTCGAGGAGTGTTCGTGTTCGCTGAAAGACTGCGTGACGTGGCAGGTGAAAAGATGGTTGGTCTACTGGGTGAGATAGCTGCGCTGGAGCCACAAGGCCAAAGCAGCGATGAGGAGTGAGAGGAAGATGGTGGTGTAGAAGCCCATCCTGGTCTCGGAGATGAAAGCAAGTGCGCCACCTGCGCTCGCCGCGGATTCCAAGAGCGCCTTTGCCGGGATAGGGATGACGCGCAAGGTGTTGTCGGCACTTGCAGAGATGAGCAGGTTGGAAGCAGGGTTGAACTTGAGACACGTCGGCGGGAAGTCGTGGGCGTGTAGGATCTTGAGCACCGGCCGCAACGTTTTTGCGTCGAGCACGCCGATGGACAGGTCCGAAGAGCCGTATGCCAAGAATTTGCCGTCCGGTGACACGTCAAAGACGGTGACGGGTCGATCAGAGACGTGACGTGTTTCGATGAGTTCCCACGAGTCGGCATCCCAAGCTGTGACGAAACTTTTGCGGATCTTGGCTTTGGGACCTTTGCCTCCGGCTGGCGCGGCATTGACGACGGTGAAGAGCTTCTCTTTGCTGGCGTCGCCACGACCAAATCGAGCGGCGCGGAAAGAGCAAGGACCTTTGCCGCCTAGTGCCGGATTTTTGATGGTTTGAATGGTCTGTGCATAACCTTCAGCTGCATCGGCTGAGGTATCTATTTCGGCATCTGGCGCGACCGATTCGATAAAGGGATCTGTGGCATAGACGACAAGCTTGGAGGAGGATGTGAAGACGACGTGGGTGTTGGAATGCGAAAAATCTGCGTCGTAGATCTCGCTATGGTCAAAGTCGCGTGATGGGATCGAGATGGAGGTGTCCTTTGCTTCTGCTGCAGCGAGGGCGGACGACGAGGGCTCGCCGGCATCGTTCCAGACGGGTGAGAGAGCCGGGTATCGATGGAGCGCGACCTGACCGTCGGTACTAGCAACGGCGAGCATGCGACCATTTGGGCTGAAAGCGACCACCTTGACATATTGTTCGGGGTCCTGGATGTGCATAGACGAGGCTGCCTTGGTGAACCGAAGTTCGACTTTGACGTCTTGCTGCTTTGCTTTGCCCTTGTCAGCGGAAAAAGCAGGCTTTTCGGCTTCCGTCGACGCTGCCTTTTGCGGGGCTGCGGATTGCTGCAAGGTATAGTCGAAGATGCGTACGGGCTGATTGGTGCCTTGCTTGACATCGTCTGCGGCGTTGTTGATACCGCAAACGAGCTGAGATTTGGCGGTGTTGACCGACATGGCCATGGGAGCGTCTTCGTCGCGTGAGAGCTTGAGTTCATCTAGCTTGTCAATGCTCTGCGCTGCGAGGTCCACGCGGGCTGCGACGACGGCATTGGTGACTCCAGAACGGCCGGCGCCTCCTCCGCCCGAGTAGACGATGACATTTTCGTCGACAAATCCGACCGAATAGATGGGGATCTTGGCTTGCACTGGAAAGTGCTGGGTTCTTGCCATCGTGTGTGTGTGTGTGTGTGTGTGTGTGT